CTTTTCTCTGGAGTCTCCTCAACTGGTATTGTTAAATCTTTAAGGTGTTTTAAGCTAATTATTGATGCCCAGCCACCCTTGCTTCTTCTTTTAATCCAAGAGCTTATATCTTCTATTTTGTTGCCTTTAATTTTAGAGTCTTGCTAGTTGGGGTTAGACTCAATTTCAAAGAGTTAGAGGGTTGCAGATTTTCTTTATTCTTCTCTTCCCATTTTATTATATATATCTTTTAGTTTGGGGTTTTCTCTTGTATTTTGCCTATGAATGGTGCTTTGTCATTTTTCCTTTTATCTATTACCTATTCTTTTTTGGATCTCTTGTGGGATATTTTCTTTCTTTTAGGCTTTATTTAGATTTTGTTTATCACTCTTTCTTGTATATAGGTCTCATAAATTTTTCTATTGGAGAGTTTTTTCTTTTGGTTTAAGTTCTCAGGTTCTTTTAATTTGTTGCCAAGTAAGCATAATATTGTCTTGCCTTGTGGTTATTTGTTTCAGACACCATAGATTAAGATCCTGAAGAGATTGGCTAGCTTTTTCTAGATCATTTTCATTTAGTAGCATCTTGATCTTGTTAACTGGATTATTATCTGAAGCTATGTTACAGTTTTTTTTCAAATCTATGTTTTTTATATTAAGGCCTAGGTTTTTGGCTGTTACTAGAATGCTTGTATTGAGATTGTTTTTCCATTTCCACTTTTGGATTTCTTTATTTTCCAAGAGCCAAATTGGTACTGTAAAATATATAAAGAGTTGTGCATCTTTTAATCTTATTCTAGTAAGATCTCCTACAAGGTCTGGATTATTCATTCTAATTACCCATTCTTTGAACATATGCTCTGTATATTGTTGCTACAAAGAGTTAATTTCCCAAATATCATTCTGCATCAGAACAGAGTTGGAAGCAGTTGAAGTTAGCTCTGCTTTCCATTTCACTACTCTTACTAGTGGCTGGTACAGTTTGTCGCATTCTTCTTTAGAGAGCATTATCATATTTAGTCTATATTCGGCTCTGGGTAAAAGCATCATATTGTTTATATACATTATTTAATATGTTCTATGGAGATTTTCCTCCTATTAAGCAAGTTGGCTATTTGTTTAATTTCTATACTAAGCTTCTTCTTAATTGTAGCCAGACTCTCAGATATCAAGTTATTTCTCTTCTTTTTTTTGCTACTAGCCTTTCTTCTCCTTTAATAAGGACTGATTTTTTTTCTTTCTTATTTTTCCTGTTTATCACTAAAAGTTCTGTATTTATTTCTATATTATTTAAATAAAAGAAGGATTCTGCAATGTTAATTATATTCTGCATATTCTCTTTGGAGTTTGCTAGAAGCGCAGTAATGTATTATCAGCATACACCAGGCCAGCAACTTGGATCTCCTCTATTCAGCTTATTTCTATTGGCTACTCTATCCTTGCTTTTGCACTGTATTTATATTTGTAGAGCTTGCAAAGTAATAGGTTGAAGTAAATTCTCCAAAGTAGGGAAGAAATCACTTCTCCTTGATCTATGCCACGTTCAGAGTGGAACAGTCAAACTTGGTAATGACTTTAACCTCTCTGTTTGTAAACATGTTAACCAAGAATACTTCTAGTTTTTTGGGAATCTTGATTCTTTTTAATGCAAGTTGAAGCTTTTTAAGGTCTATAGTGTCGAATACTTTTTTAATATCTATAAATGTTATTCACATTTTTTGATTTTTTTGTTTTGTAGCTTCTATTAGAAAGTTTATAATATGTATCGGTTGTTGGGTACATTCTCTCTGAAGCTCTGCAAAGTTTGGCCCTCTTAATATTTTATGCTGAATAATGATATCACTAAGTCTACGTTGAATAATTCTTATAAGTCCTTTCCTTGCTGCTTCGAGTAGCATAATGGGTCTTATACTTCCCATTTGTAGGTCCCATTCTGGTAGTTTTGGGATTAGAAAAATCAGCCCTACTTTCCATTTCCTTGGTATGTTACCTTCTTCTAAAATTTTGTTAAGCAGACTTAGAAGGAGATTTGTGGCTTTTTCTCCAAGTTTTTTAAGAATCATATAATCTATGTTGGGAGCATTTCTTTCCATTCTTCTATTGTGATTTCATCTAAAATATTGTTGTACCAGTGTTGTTGAATGAAATTGCATGGTGTATATTTCTCTTTTCATGTCTCTATTTCTTTTCTTGGGGGACGGGTGTCTTCTTTGAATTGTTTTGCAAAATAACTATCTACCTCTTTTTTAACATCCTCTGGTTTATATATAAGCTCTTTCTTTCCCATTGTAATATCTGTTGTTGTGAGTATTCTTTCTATTACGATCTTGTACCAGGGTCTTTCAAGGATGCTGTTGAATATTTTTTTATCCTCATGTCCAATTATACCAAATCTTCTTTCAATATTGTCTCTTATTCTTTTCTCTTGCTTTATTTTTTGTTCTAAGATTATTTTTCTTTCTATTACTTTTATCCAACTTTTGAGATCTTGGATCCAGTATTCTGACCACCTTTCTCCAATCTCTTTTGTTATTTGTGTTTACTTGTTCTAATTGTGTATTTAAAGAGTGTTGATCTTCAGGTTTAATTTCTTTGTTTAGATTTTGGCACCCTAGGTGGCCTATTCTTCTTAGCTGCTTAATTCACTTATATCTTGGATTTCATATTACTTGTTTTTGTTTTTCCACTATAGTGTTCTAGATCTTTTTGTGTGGAATTGTTTTATTTGCAGCCTTAATTATTAGTTCAGCTAGTTTTTCTCATACTTCGTTTATCCAGTTTTCATTCGACAAACTAGATGTTATAGTCTCTTTTCTAGAGTTTATATTATTATATTCTTCAATGTATTTTTCTAGTAGTGATGTAAAGTCTTTCCAATTATCTTCAGTCATTTTATCATAGAGGTAGATTTTCCATTGACTGAAGTCTTTCCTTCTTTGCTGGGCAGTTAAGTTTGTATGAAGTATGGGGCTTAGCAGGACCCCGAAGAACTCTGATACAACCTAGATCTAAGTTTGTATAAATTTGGCCAAATAGATGTATAAAATAGAGCAAAATTTAAAAATTTACTATATGAAAAGACAATGTTTGATGATTTTCTATGCAAAATTTCCTTTTTTGGTAACATATGAGTTACATCAGAGTTCTTCAGGGTTCTGGCTTAGCAGCAATTTTGTCCATATCAGATTATGATTACTTTCTGTAACAAGGTCCATAGTTTCGATATCACTATCTATTACAAGATCTTTTAATTCTGGATCTAACCAGATATGATCAATTTTTGAGCAGAATTTAGAGTTGGCCCAGGTTGTTTTAAAAATCTGTAGATTAATAAGTGCAAATGCTTCTTCGAAGCCTATATTTTGTAGCTATCTTATAATTGGAAGTTTACATCAATTGTTCTTCTGTCTAACTTCTCCTATATTATTGTTTAGGGTAGTACCTGCCCCATTATCTATTTCTGCATTAAAGTCACCTACTATAACTATTTTCATATTAAATTTACTTTTGACGATATTTTCTTTTATGCATTGTTGTATCTTTTTTTTCGTATATTTGTCATTTGGTCGAAAATATACTACCCATATTACTATTTGAATCTAAAGACTGCATAAGAATCCTTTACCATTACCTCAGTAAGGTGAGTTTGCCATTCCTTCCTTACTAGTAATCCTACCCTGGATCCTTTTCTTTTTTCTATGTTATCTTTTGTCCAAAAGGCTCTATTGTGTTGCCAATTAACATCAAAGAAAACTGCTTCTTTTGCATTCATATTTGTTTTTGTTATTTTTATGATATCTATATTTTCTTCTTGCAGTTTTGTCCTGTTGCCTTTTATGCCGTTGATATTGTGATAACCTGCTTGAAACTTTTCTCTATTATGTTTTTTAGATCTATATTTTCTGTGCTAATTTTAAATCTGGTTCTAGGGCATTATGAGTTATTTTAAGTAGAGTTTGCCCTAACAAGCTATTTTGTTTGTCTATTTTGTTAATTCAACTGGGGTGCCTTAGGAGAAATTTGGGACTAGAGCCCCTGTTTTTTCTCTACTCTTTGTAATCTATTTAAGATTTGCTCCAATATGCTATTTTGTATTTCACAATTGACTGTAAGGTTACTTTCAGGTTTTTTGTTATCTACACTATATGCTCTAGCCTTTTTTTTAAAATTTTTGTCATAAAGTATTCTATTTTCTTGTTCTTCTTATTCTGCTTATTTCTATTTTATTCGAACCTGTTGCAAAATTTCTGAGTGTTTCTCTGTTGATGCCTTGAGGTCTGCAGAAATTGTTAATTCTACTATTTTTTTGGTTATCAATGTGGGTAGAATTGAGGTTTCTGGTTCTGCTTAACTGTTTAGTAAAGGTGCAGTTAGCTATTTTTCTTTCTTTTGGCCTTTCCATTTTAGTTCTTGTCTTTTTCCCTTTATTTTGGTTTCTAACTTTCTTCTTGTAGTGAAACATGTTATCGGGAAAATCTTTTTGGTTTGTGATATCTGAGGTTTGGTGCCATTTAAGTTTGGTATTGAAATAGTATAGATTGCAGCCTTGGGCTAAAAGTATATAAGGGCACTTTTCTTTTAATTTCCATTTCGATTGTAGAGGATATATACCACTTGGACTTTATACTTTTTAAGTTGTCGTAAGAGAAGGCTATTATAAGCTAATGTTGGTATATTTGAGATGATGCCTTTGTAATATAATAGCCTCTTGATTCTAGTTCAACAATGTCAAACTTGCCCAGGGTAGTTCGGTATGTTTTGCCAAATTCCAGGAGAATTGACTAGCTTTTTTTTTAAAGATTTCTCTCTTTGTTTTGAGTTTGGTAGGATCTTGATAAATGCTACCTTTGTTCTGAAATTTTATTGCCATGTGATAATAGTTGCTATACTATATATATTTAGGTATGACTTGATTCGGTATGCTTTCATGTCTTTTGGTAGATCCCATATTGTAAAGAGAAAAGTAGATTCAGGAGAAACTTCTTGGTGCATGATTTTGTTTTTCAAGGCCCATAGATTGCTTTAAGGGTTTTGTATCTGCTTGTATTCATCTTTAATGAGTTCTTTAAGCCTATAATCTAGTACACCACACTCTTTTTCTAATAATATATCTTTGACAATTTCTAGATGATCTTTTGAATTATGTGCCAACTCTTCTTGTTCTTTAATTGGTGATCCACCAGTCAACCAAAAAATAATCATAGTAAAATGTGACTCAAATTACTTATAAAAATTAGTGGTCTCCAAATGTGGCGTGCGCATATCTAAAACTTTTTTTATATTAAGTTAATCACTTTTCTAACTTAAAAGACTTTTGTAAAGCTTGTCAAGACGCATCTAATGGTGGT